AAAAAAAAAAAAAAAAAAAAAAATGACGAAGGGAAAAGCGGCGAAAGGGACGAGAGACACTCGAACCCTGCTGGATTGAACGAATGTCGAATAATAATTAATGCTGCGGTTATTAATTAAACAGCCTTGCTATTCTCATCTGAAATTCTCGATGCTCCATTTGTTTTCTGTACATGAAATTCAATTACGTATAATTAACGCGTCTTTCTCGTTCTCTCGCGCAAGCGTGAGGTGTCGCGTTGTTTTCGAAATTTCGCAAAAGCTCTACCCAGCTTTACCAAAGATAGAAATTTTACGAATACATATTTACACTTACACCGAATGCCTCACACTAACAAACGTGACTTTTCACTTTACGTATTAATAGATAAAAATTCACGTGGGTAACTGAATCTACCAAAAAATATCAAATAAAATTATAATATTGGCTTATAGTACTTTGAATTTATAATGAGTCTACAATTTCAGAAGATTTAAGGTAATAATATTCCACGATCAGGTTAAGAGATGAATATCGAATAACAGAGTCGAAATGTTAGTCATCGATTTTAATGAAATACAAGTGTAATGTAAGTCTCATAAAAATATCTGACATGAACGACTATTATTCGTGTTAGAAGGCTGAATACTGCCCTATCTAATATAAAAATTTTAAGTAAAAAGTAAATATTAATTTCATCAATTTACGCAATTAGTCTATCTGTAGTAAGTATTATTATTACGAAAATTATAATTACATTATACTTCAACCAAAAGTGATTGATACTTCAGTATGTTCCCTTATCTTTATACTAGGTCTCAGTCATAGAGAAAAAGGAAGTAAAAATGACCAACCTAAACAAACTCTATTTTCAGTGACTATTTGTAAATAGTGATAGACGACTATTTGTAAAAAGTATCTTCGTGCAAATATTAAATTTGACTCATTATCAGTGTAAGCACAAAAATGGTTAGTCATCCAACAATGAAATAACACAGGAAGAAAGATACGCAGACAGTACATGAAGATCACAATTTCCAGAGTGAAAAATTCTGTACAATTTCACCCTTTACAAAACGCTATAGGCTACTTACTGTTATTGAAAATGCTATATCGACGTTAGACTATATTAATATAGCGTGAGCTCTTGGTTCTTTGAAGGTAAATCTATAATGAGACGGAAATAATTCCGCGTGAAAAGTGAATCACACGCTCGAAACGCCTACGATTACCAAGAATATCTACTTGCATCATTACAACTACACGTCCAAGGTTACGCATTCTCCTTCCACGATCAGATTCTTCTTACATAACAAAACGTGGCAATGATCGATCAATTTATGTCGCTAAAAGAGGTTACTGCATTTCATTTGAAATCAACGGCAACGTAGAAAATGAAAAACCGGCCTGGAAATTCGAAAT